ATAGAAAAAATTCGTACCTCAGGCTTTTTACATTAATTTTAATTTCAGTTTTTCCATATACGATAAAAATTTCGATAAAAAACTGTTTCGTTTGCATTTCTCACGTTTTTTCTTTTAAAATTTTATAAAATTTTTCCCAGGAATGAACGTTAAATTTAATTTATTTACCAATTTTGTTTTTATAATTTCCGTTGCAAGTTTGTTATAAATAAATGAAATATAGAAACTGTAATATATGAAAATAAACAATCTAAAAATCAATAACTTTTTAAAGATTCCAAATTACTAACATTATCATGATGTACTGAGAAATAAAATATTGTTTTAATAGATGGTAAGATATTGCACTTGTGTAAACACAAGTGTAACTGAGTCGTGTATCATTTTAAAAAATTGTTACAAAATTACAAGTTATTAAGAATATTTATTTCAAAGCCGATATTTAAATTTAGCGCCTTTTATTTCTAGTCCTTATTTCAGCTGAGAGATGGCGCAAAATTTAAGTTCTTCATCATCTATGATAGCAGTAATCATTGAGTAATGGTGTAAATTATTACTCAATGATTACTGCTATCATATTATCTATGAATCTGCATTGTCAACTATAGAATATATTTCTTTGATCTATGACAGATAATCTATGATTGTCAACATAACAATATGAATAATGATGATATAACCTAAATTAAAGAAAATGTTGGAAATCGATAATAATTTGAAAAATTCATTAAAACTAGCAAATTCGAACGCCCTTAGTGATGAAAACTTCAAAAATTTGGTCCAGCACTGCTTTAATGCCTTAACAAAAAAATCAGAAATAAATAGTAGGTTAATTAGTGGTCTCTTTATAGGACCTTTTATTTTATGATACTGGATGATACTAAAGTTTCATACGATTTTTAGATATAAATTCATTATATGGATCCAAACCGGATACAGTTAAAGAGATTTTTGCAAGTGTTATGACTTTAATAGCCCAATTTGGTCGTCAAAATTTAGATCCTTTGGAGGTGGCGCAATTTTTGAAAAATGAGTGCCATTTTAACGCAAATAGAATAAAAATAATTAGCGAGTTGTATGAAGAAAACAAGAATGATTTGCTTGTAGTTTTAGGCACTATTGGTTCTCATTTACCTCATATAACGGATGTTAATTGGAAAATTGATTATAAAATTGAGGTGAAGCAAATTTTTCTTTTTTATCTACTCAGTTACTACGAAATAAAACTTAAAAGTAAATGCAATTGCGACTGTAACTGAAATTAATTTAATATTTTATTTGCAGTCCAAATATTTGGAGGAAGCTAGTGGACCTATTTTTCGAATATCATTGATAACTGAAGTTTTTGATGAGCAATTACAAAAACCAGTACAGAAACCAATTAACTTTACATGCACTACCCAGGAATTGCAGGATTTAGTGTACAAATTAAAAGATGCTGTTAATCATTGTGAACGCATTGCGAAAAAAGCAGATATTTCTGAGCCAAACGCTGTATTAATAATAAGAATTTTAGTTGGAAGTAATTGGTAGCACCAAATCTTACAGTAAACGAAAGTTGCAAACTTGCAAACTTNATGTAAAAGTTAATTTATTAATTATAGTACTGTATAAACTGGAGTACAAAGGAAATGCAACAACTAGTACCACTAAAAAAATCTTTATAACGATACAATTCACTTAATTTAAAATTCCAATGCACATCTTACATCTTAAAAAAAAACAAACACCTATTAAAAAAGTGTACACATTAAAAAAATATGCTTATGGCTGCATGCCAATAGTTAAGCACTTACCTGCATTTATTATATTTTTTTAACGTAATTACTTCAAGCATCCTCACTATGCTTGAAAGATTTGGAGATAATTAATTAATCGATCAAAATACATCACAGAAGGACAAAACGTATTTACGTACAAAAGAAAATATATTTAAGAGATAAACATGAATAAAAAAGGAACTATATTAAAATTTGAGGCGTTTTAAATTCTTTTTGCTCTGTCTTGAGCAGGCAACATTTTTAACTTTAGGAGGACTCGAAGGTTCCACGGTTTCAACGATCTTTGGAGTATTGGACTCCACTACCGAGAGCAGCGACGACCGCCTAGACCTCCTCAAAGATGAGCTTGAATTCCTATTACAATCTTTCAAAATATTAGACTTATCTTTTCCCGTGAGTGCGGTTGAGGTATTCCTTCGGACAGCTGGGGATCCCAAGTCATTCTCTGACATGTACCCTGATGAATCATATTTGCTAGTATTTAGATGAAGTGGTCCAGGAGACGAGTCCATGAAGAATGACGGCATGGTATCTGTATTTACGTTGGTGGTGGCTGTTGCATTGGAAATGTCCAAAAGCCTCTGACGCACAGCCGGAGCCTCTAAAACGAGTTCTGATTTCTGGCATTTATCGTAAAAGTCCTCGGGGCCCGTCGCCGAAAAACTGGAGCAGTTGCGACACCAAATGTACTGGCAAAGAACATTCTGACATTGACCAATGTTCTTTTCCACAACTGCGAGATGAAAGCAACGGGGGCATTTTAAGAGACTCTGAGACGATTTCAAGGTCGACACCAACTAAAAAAATATATTTTAGAATTCAAAGTATTTGCAGTAACATCATTACTAAAAAACAAGTTATTAAATTTCACTTACTTTGGTGCATTTTTGAAAGTTTTCCCTTTCAGGACTACATGGCGGGCTTAAGGCAGTGTAGAAATTTGGTAATTTCTTTAAAATATTCTCTTTATTACTTTTATGATCCTCTATATATCTAACATATCTAGTGAAAGCCCTCTCATCACTTACAAGTGCACTTTTCCATGTCTTACTAACCATGCTAACATGGTAAAGGTCTACTTCTGACAAAAATTCAAAAATGAGAGCTAAAATTCTTGGACAACTATTTTTCAGTCGGAAAACACTTATAGGGTCCCTGTCTATTTTCTTAAAAGGCTTCCTGTGACAATCATCAAATAATCTTTTCTTTGCTGGTGAATTAAGCTTCTTAAGTGATTCCACAAGTTTCTGAGGTGTTTTTGGTTTGGGAAAAGCTTTTTCAGGAATATTGGAGTACAAAATTTTGTTACTTTCAGGAGATCCTAGTGGTCTTGTTATGGTGTGTTTTGTGGGAGTGCAACTGTTTTCCAAATGTTCACTTTTACTTTTGAAAATAGGACTGGGATGCTCACATATCTGTTTTGTGGGTGTAGAAGGAGCTGATCTTGATTTAGGTTGATATTCCTCTTCTTCATCTATTTTCTGACGTTTTGAGCATTTATTGGTAGGATAACATTCAACAGGAGACCTTTCCGTATAAAAATTAGGTGTAAAGTTAATAGTACATTTCTCTAATTTGTTTGTAATAGACTCATTTAATGTACTTGACAAGAAGTACAAGCTTGTACTATGATTCTCAAAATCTAAAGGTGACACTGAAATAGCATCTTGTTGAACTTTTAATTTTCTTTCTTTGATGAAGCTCTGATGGAACTTTCTTTTTCGAGAGACATTTAAAGATGTAGTAGGGGTTTCAACATAAGAGGATGAGTTATAGGAATGAGATTCGTAGCCTGAGGAAGACCCGAAAGTACCCGTCAGGTAGTCTGATACTTCTGGAGTATCTTGTAGTGGAGTATTCTCCATCTGGAAATTAGATGTTTCAGGCTAAATAAATGCTATAAACAAAAACTTACTTGAGGTTTTGGAATGTACTAATTATTAATTGTACTCTAAACTACACTTCTGATGAGGACTTTCTTCATAAAAAGGATTTTTGAAAGATTAGCCCGCCATGTCCTTAATGTCATTTTAGCGCGCTCATTTCACCTAACTCTCCCAAATTCACAGTCTCAGTTCCCAACATTGTTCACATATCACTACATTATACGAAATATCCAATCTTTAATATAAATAATAAAAATAACTAATTGTAACGGTAAATTGACAATACTGTAAATTTTAACTTTCGGTTGCAAGGTTATTATTTGTTATGGACCTGTTATACATTTCATTGCTCTGACGTTTAAAAGTCAAAGTAGGTAACTGATGCGAACAAAAGTTACTACTATTAAAAGATATCCGATGTGAAATAAGCAGTTAAAAGTATTTTAATGTTAATATTAAAAATCTTAATGGAAAAATTAGTAATTACACACTTTTCTGTTGTTTATTTTCACAGTCAATCAGTTGAAAATAAATTCCAAACGCTGTATTAATAATAAGAATTTTAGTTGGAAGTAATTGGTAGCACCAAATCTTACAGTAAACGAAAGTTGCAAACTTGCAAACTTTTGTTTATTTGTCATTAACGAAATGGCTGCCTTGTCTGACTGTTTTTCTTTAGGAAGTACGGTCTGGTGTAGGACATGCTACAATCAAGAAGTTGAAGGAGAGGTTCTGGCCTTCGATCCGCAAACGAAAGTATTAATATTAAGTATCCTTTTAATTTCATGTGCAATTTTTGATTCAAAACATGTTCCCACATTTATCACTACTAAGCATTTAGTTTCTTTAAACTCCAAGTAATTTGTACAAATTATTAATTGCCATAAATATGCAAGTGCTATTATCATCCCTTCAAACATATTTATTTTAATAGCTTGTAATAAGAGATTTTTAAAGTTATCTGTATTTTGTAATGTTCCTTAACTTTCAACAAGAATGCTCCCCAACAAGCACTATGATGGGGCTGAACGACGTTCATTTTATAAATTTGTCGCTAGTGAGCGAATTGCAAGTAAAAAAAGAAGTAACTTCGATTCCAGAGATACCACAATCACTAAATTTACAAAGGGTAAGTGATACATCTCAAATGTCAAAGACCTGCTTGAGAAAACTGCTATTTTTAGATAAATTCGCGTATAAGGAATCAAGTTGACGAAAAGAAACGATTATTAACATCAATGTCCTCAAGTGTTACTCCAGAAGGACAAAGATTATTTGTAACAATAGGTAAAACAATTAAAGACATTCGATGGCGAAATACAGATATTGTGGTGTGGGACCAGCAGGTATATTAAATATTTCCAGATAATTGAAACATTCTTGCAATAAAAGTATATTATTTAGGTAGGTTGTGTAGTTATTACTCCACCTTATCAACTGGAGGATATACAAGGAAATAGTAACAGTATGGAATATTCTTACATTCGAAAAGTGGTACGTAGCAGATTATTGTTATTAATATTGCTATTTAATAATAAAAGTTTTCATTTTAGGTTGAAAAACACATGAAGGATACAACATTAAATAGTTCACAGAATCAACAAGTAATTCAACACAATTCAAATTCACAATAGAAGATGAACATAGAAAAAATTCGTACCTCAGGCTTTTTACATTAATTTTAATTTCAGTTTTTCCATATACGATAAAAATTTCGATAAAAAACTGTTTCGTTTGCATTTCTCACGTTTTTTCTTTTAAAATTTTATAAAATTTTTCCCAGGAATGAACGTTAAATTTAATTTATTTACCAATTTTGTTTTTATAATTTCCGTTGCAAGTTTGTTATAAATAAATGAAATATAGAAACTGTAATATATGAAAATAAACAATCTAAAAATCAATAACTTTTTAAAGATTCCAAATTACTAACATTATCAT